TTCATGCATTTACGGGAGGGGGTGTGTCCCTCTGGCAGTCCAGGACCCCTCAGGGGATGCCCAACTGACAGTTTAGGCCCAAGACATCAGTCAGACATCCTTAGCACTGCTGCAGAGGCAGGAGAGACTCCCACCACCGCCACTGTGCTCACCAGTTGTGAACCTGGCTTCTGGCTGAGCAGCGCTCCCCCTGTGGGAGCGCACTGACCACCAGGGGACAGCTCCTGTGTTAACCAGGACCGGGCCAAGACTGGCTCTCAGAGGGGTCCTGGATTGTGAGAGGGTGCAGGCCAGGTGGAGGGACCCCGCTTGTGCATGATTGGGGCTGGGGAGGGATGCGGAAGGTTGGCCAGCTGGGGAGGGACTGTGGGAGGGCTCCTGGGCATGTCCAGCCCATCTAGCTCAGCAAGCTAACCTACTAGTCCAGCCGTGGGCAACTACGGCCCGCGGGCCGGATCCGGCCCATTTGAAGTGAATAAAACTAAAAAAAAAAAAAAGACCGTACCCTTTTATGTAATGATGTTTATTTTGAATTTATATTAGTTCACACAAACACTCCATCCATGCTTTTGTTCTGGCCCTCTGGTCCAGTTAAGAACCCATTGTGGCCCTCTAGTCAAAAAGTTTGCCCACCCCTGTACTAGTCGAAACATCTGCCCTCTGGTGGTCAGTGAACGTCATAGTGACTGGTCAACCAGTCGACTGCCCCCTGGTGGTCAGTGTACATCATAATGAGCGGTTGAGCAGCCTTAGCATATCATTAACATATTACGCTTTGATTGGTTGAACAGAGGACTGGATGACCGGACACTTAGCATAACAGGCTTTTATTATATAGGATAAGCAGCTGGCTAGTGAAGGGCTGGAGAGCAGATTTTTGTGGCTAATGTGCTCCTCTGCCATACTGCTGGCAATACTGGAATAATGCTCATATATGATTCAACCCCGTCTCTGCTTACTTGGCTGGAGTAATGACAGGCAGCATGGACCCATTGTTTATCCGGTTACATTCATAACCACACGAGCTAATTTGTCATAGTCAATCAATGTATCTCTTACATATATCATATAAATAAAGAAATATATAGTCTGTCTCTCTGGATAATTCTGACTAAGATAGGTTTTACTATAATGTATCTGTAATAATAAAAGTATAATATGCAAATTGACTGAACATCCATCTGCATGTCTTTTTGTATGACCTTCTGGACAACCTTCCAGATGAAGCCGGAGCTGTAGCCGCAGGATTGAGGCTGCTGCCGCGGCTCCGAGGGAGGGCTTGAGGCAGCCACTACAGCTGTGAAGGCCTGGCATGATCCTCTTACATGCATTTCATGCATCGGGCCTCAAGTTTAACTATAAATGTTTGCAGGTTGGTTCTTAGTAATGGCTGTGTTTCATAACCAGCTCATGACATTCCTGAGAATTTAATAATGGGCACTAACCAGCCAGTATGAGCTGTCTCCAGCACACTACTGGCTATAATCCTTGCCACTCAGGCAGTTTGACTATAAGAAGCCTCTACCTAATCTCCAGGTAGAAGGGGAATATTCCTAAAGAAGCACGCGTTTTCCCTTGGAGGGATTGGCTGGAAGTTTGTACCAGCCAGTGGACAGGGGAGATAAGCATGTCCTGGGGCTGTAGCCAGTTATCAGTGGCTCTGACCTCGGCTCCAACTGTGACACTGGTAGTGCCAACCCCCCAATAACACCGAGGCAATGGAGGGGGAGACAGCAGCCAGGGCCTTCTGAAAGGCTGCTCCTTTCAAAGCCCAGTCTTTAGAAGTGTGTCCAAGTCCCTGTTCCCCCAGCACAGGCATCGATGGAAATATTCGTAATTTTTTAAAATAACTGTTTAAAAGTATTTAGAGAGAAAAACCTCAGAGAGAAGTCTAGTCCTCTTGTGTGATGAGCCTCAAGTCATTTTGCTTTGAGCATTAAAAGACGATGGGAGGGCCCTGGCGGATGTTGCTCAGTCAGCCTGCACTCCAAAGTGGCGCAGGTTGGATTCCCAGTCAAGGGCATGTACCTGGGTTGCGGGTTCTCTCCTTACCCCTACTTGGGGCTCATGCTGGAGGCAACCAGTTGATGTGTCTCTCTCGCATCATTGTTTCTCTCTCTCTTTCTCCTTTCTTCCCTCCCTTCCACTCTTTCTAAAAAGCAATGGAAAAATATCCTTAGGTGAGGATTCATACACACACACACACACACACACACACACACACACACACACACACAGGATGGGTCGCCTCGCACAGGACCAGAGGGAACATTGTCTAATCACATGAGGATTTAACACCTAATGGAAACTGACAACAAAGTTTGAAAATATCCATTTTAGAAAATTACCACACAGAAAGCGTCAAAAAGTTGTGTTTTTATTCACTGAGATTATGGTTTATTAAGTCAATAGATGAACAAAGCATTCCTTGATGGCTGAATTAAAGTGTAAGCAATGCAGACTTCTCAAAATTAACATTATCTGTGCTGGGGAAAGGATTATGCATGTTACAATTAAAAATGTTTCTATTTAATTACTCTTGACATGATATAGAAAAATACCACATTTCTAAGAGCAAGGCAAGTAGAGACAAAGGGGTAATAAATGACACATGAACCAAAAGTTTCGCTCATCAAGTCCAAGTGTTATTTTTTTCATGGGTTATAAACTAATACAATGAAAGTGGGGTTAAAATACAAGTCCCCTGTACTTTCACAATCCTGGATTGACTCTGAATAATTCTATGGTGCATTTTAAGGTGTTTTTGTCAAGAGCTAATTTCTTTTGATTTTCCAAAGAGCTGAGCTAAACAACAGCTTCATGATCCTAAAAAAATGCATTAAAAACTAGGTCTTAGAAAACAGGCAATTTCTTTAAGCACCTCTATTTCCCTGTTACCTGGACTGGTAAAAATATAGAAAGGATAATGACAAATAAAAAGCAAAATACATCTAAGTGCAAAGGTGAACATACATAAGAATTCTGGTATGTTTAGATTTCTTGACTCTTGTCCTGGCAAGTAGCATCTCAAGTAGATTTTTTAATTCATTCACTGACTAAAAGATAAAAAGTTTGTAAGCCATGGTTAGTATAAATCACAAAGTATTATATAATCATGATACTGAACATGTATAGAGTTTAAATAATGTTAACAACCCTACTGAGAGACAATATCATTTGCTCCATTTTACAGCTGAGAAAATGAATTACATAACTTGGCTCAAAGTCCCACACCTCATGTTGGGCGGAACTAAGAAAAGGATTGAAGTTTCCTGAGTTAAAGTTCAATTATTGTTGCAAGTGACTAAATTGTCAATCTGGCCCAGCCATGGGACATGCCCATCTATCACCCCAAGCCCCTAAAGAATGGAGTTGATATTTTTTGAGATGCCATGCTACATTCTCTGTGACAGAATTCGAAAATGGGCACTATTTCTAGACTTCCCTCCAGAGTGGCCCATAAAAGTATTTCAGCAAGCCATGGTACATGGCACTTTGTAAATTATGAGGTGATGCTCCTTGTCTATTATCTTGCCAGTCTTTTCCTGAGAAAGTCATAGTCAATGGAGATTGACTTCATTATTCTTATAATCTCTCTCTAGGTTTAAGTCTAGAAAAGATTCATGAAAGAGGAGTAGGAATAACTTCTTCCCTATGATTTATCCTGAGTCTTTCCTTATGTATAATTTTTGTTGTTGTTATTACCACTTTTAGATTTAGAGATGATTTTTTTTTCACTGAAAAAACACACACACCGTATTCAGAGCAATTGGGTCCCTCACCCAGCTCATATAGGATTGTATAAAACACACAAATAATATGTGCGGTATAGTTTCTTAAGACACTTTAAAAGGAATAAAATATTTTTCCACTCATTTTCCCCTTCTCCTCCTCTCTGGCAACCATCAGCTTGTATCTGTATCTATTGAGTCTGTTTCTGTTTGTTTGGTTTGGTGGAAGGGGAATAAAAGGTGCAAACTTCCAGTTATAAAATAAATAAATCAACTATACTTTAATAAAAAAATAAAAATAAGATAAAATTTTTAAAAAGAAATAAAATTATCAAATCTTACAATGTGTTTTTAAATTTTATTGATTTCCTGACTACCTCACAAATTACAACTGTCAGCTCTTAACCAAGAATAAATTTGCTCATCATTCAGGGCTTTTTTTTTATGAACTTTTTAATATGACCCAGCAATCCTTTTTCTGGGTACTTACCCAAAAAGCTTTAAAACATTTATTCACAAAGATATATGCACCCCTATGTTTACTGCAGCATTATTCATGGCAGCCAAGACATGGAGACAACCAAAGTGTCCTCTGATAGAGGATGGGAAAAAGAAGATATACTATGGAATACTACTCAGCTGTAAAAGAGATAAAATACTGCTATTTGTGACAACATGGATGGACCTTGAGAATATTATGCTAAATGAAAGAAGTCAGTCAGAAAATGCTAAGAACTATATGATTTCACTCATATGTGGGATATAAAACTGAAATTCATAGACACAGACAACAGTATGGTGGTTACCAGAAGGAAAGGGCCCAAATGTATGGTGATCAAAGCTGATTTGACTTTGGCATCGGCACACAATGCAACATATAGATCATGTATCATAGAAATGTACACTTGAAACCTATGTGATCTTATTAACCAATGACACCCCAATAAAGTTAATTAAAATAAAATAAAATGAATTTTTCTTCTCTTACCTCAGCTAACATTAAACTCATCACTGCCTAACAGAAATGTAAACAATTTTTAGCACATATTTCAGCAGTCCTAATCTCACAGATGACAAAGTAGCCATTTTCTCAACAGTATGTTAGTTTTTGTTCATAATGATGGCTTATTTTAAAATCCTTCTTGATGCTGTCATTTTTAACTGTAAAAAATTCTGTTTTAATATGTTATAGAACTCAGTGTCACATCTTTCTTAAATACAAAATAAAAGTGAGAAAATATTTGACAACAAAGAAAGAAAATAAAGGTCTTACATCAGAGTCTCTTCCCCATCATCAGCGTCAGTGGCAGGTTTCAATGTGCAGGTCATGGCCTCACAGGAAGGATTGGTACATTCCTTTAAAGCACACACAATGGAAAGTGGGCTCAGCATTTTTCTCTGTAAGATTCTGGCACAGGGTGGCAATAACATTTCACTTTTTAAACTAAATTATTCTGCTATACAAGTGGTAAAGGCCTGGGGTAATGGGTCGGTCTAGTAGGAGTCAATGGGAGGAAAAGGGGACACTTTCAACAATAAAGATTTTAAAAAATTAAAAATTACAAAAAATTTAAGAGTAATAGAAACTAGCTCTTAAAAGGACAAAGATTAAATTATTCAAGAATCACCCCCAAATAAATGTGTCCTAGGTGATATCATGTAAATTAATTTAAAACTTCAAGGGAGAATATTTCTATGCTATAAAAACTGAAAATAGAGAAAAATATTTTAAATCTTCAATTTGTTTTACCAAGATTGAATAATTCTGATAATGAGAGCTGGTAATTAATTCACACACACACATACACACATGCGTGTTATTCTCATTTATGGATATAAATCCAAAAAAACTTGAATAAAACATTAGTTAAGCATCATTTTATTAATATAATAACTCTCAATCACAACTATGTAGTTTTTTTTCCCCACCAAATGCAAGGGTGTCTTAACTGCACAGAATAGAGTAACATAATTAATCACATTAAGAGACTTAGAAAGAAAACAACTGTTATTGTGATAGATGGCAAAAATTAGTTGGTAAAAATTCAGTAACCATTATTGCATTATTTAAACATATAAAAAAAAACCGTGAACAGAATTATGTGTCATCATGATGAAGAAAATCTATCTGATATATAACAAATATATCCAATAAAATAAAGAATAAGACAAGGATTATTTATAGTCTATATTTATATGGAAATGGTGGTAAATGTTATGAGACAAGAAAAAGATATAAAAGTGCAATAATTGGGTAGTGTAAATCACATTTTCACTATTTGTATGTCATAAAATTCTTGACCTGGAAAAAAACATACGTTCAACTCTAAAAATATTGGGTAAGTCACTAAGATAACTGTCTAATATAATAATCAAATAACATAAAAAGTCATAATAAATTAGAACCAAAAATTTAAAAAAACTTTACACATACTAATAACAACAACAACAAAAAAGAAAATACTTTAGAATAAACCTTCAAAATGTGCCAGAATTACATGGAGATCTTTATATATAACTTTTTCTGAGGAACTTTCCAGGCAAATTGTCTTTTAAGACAATACTTAATATTGTGAAAATGCCAGTGGCCTTTAGAGTGAAATATGAATTTAATGCATTTCAATCTGAATCTGAGCTGTATTTGTGGGCAAACTGACAAAAAGAATACCAAGAGTAATATGGAAAAACTAACATTAAAGACTTGCTATGCAAATTCTGTATGGATAGATGATAGAGAGATGATAGATATGAAGAGAGTTACTGTACAAGATATTAAAATGCATTGTATGTTACAATCATAAAAATAGCATGATGCTTGTGGTATGATATTTAGGCAGATAGAATGATTACCTTTAAAACCTAGAAAGCACTTAACTATGTATATATAAAAAAACAAATGGCACATTGGATCATGGGAAACTGGATTATTCACTAAGGGTACTATATAAAGTATGGGTAAATCTTGCATTGCAATGGGCTAATCATTAGTTTTGTATCCTTGGAATTAGTTACTCAGCTTTTCTGAGCCTCACTGCTTCTTCTCTAATTTGGGATCACAGCAAAACCTAGTTAGTAGGTTTGCTGTGATTAATAGGCTTGTTGTGAGTAATAAAGGCGGTGATGTATCTATGAAAGCATTATGTAGGCTGACACATGGAAAATCTCTTCAAATATTAACTCATTTTTTTAGTCTTAAAAGTGAAAGATTGCTAAAAAAAAAAAAAGAAAGAAAGAAAGAAACAAAAAAAAAAAACCAAAAAAAAAAAACCACAACAACAACCAAAAAAACACCACCAGAATGCTCTCTTTTAAAAACCTCACATGGGATGCTAGCAAACATTCTACCAAACATTCCCCAGAGTACACTGATGCCTCAAAGGGATCAGATTTTACAGACATTAGCAGACTTAGAGCAATTATCTTAGACATTCAATGCTAATAATCCATTTTTTACAAGTTTGTTCTCTTTTCTTTTTCTCCATTTTATTCACTTCCTGTTTTACACATTGGCTGGATGAGAGAAAGCCAACTCTCTCCATGGGGAGGAATTGTGATTGGTCAACAGATGATCAATCTGTTAGTGACTAAGCTTCTAAGTGATATATTATAGTTAATGAGTTACCTCTAAAGAGTCATTGAACGTCATACTGGCTTTTGAAATGCTTTTCAAAAGATGCCTAAAGTCAGTGCAAACCTTCTTTTTACTGTCATTCTGTCATTCCAAACTTGTCTTTAGAAAAAAATTTCCATAAAGCCCATTTTTTTTTTTTTTAGAAAAGGAAAAGGGAAGAAAACAGGTATGCCACAATCACTCTATAATAAGTTTTTGAAACCATGGACATTTCCATACCTTAGGAGAGCCACAATCGCATGCTTCCCCTACTTCCAGAAGCTTGTTCCCACACACTGGTTTTGTTATTATATTTTTAGGAATTGGTGCTTGCAGCAGGCACTTTGGTTTTTGAGATAACATGTATCTTTCAAAATGTGAACGGCTCAATGTACTGAAATCCTTTGGGAATTTTGAACTGTAAGCAGAAAACAATCAGAGATACCATGATATATTGTGACACATGAACGTGGGAACGTGACTTGTCTGAAACTATTACCAGCTCAGTGGAAACTCCAAATTTAGTATCTGTTTAGGCCTGCGCTGTGTTACATGCGGAAGGTGACAGAGCATGCTGCTATGCTGGTTGGAAAACTGATCCTCAGTTATTGCGCTAGAGTAATTTAAATTCCAGCCTGGATTCAGTACTGTACTAATTGGCAGGAGCTTCACCATTTGTTATCTTTGGCTTATTTAGCCACTGAGTGCTGAGAAGTCAGTGATAACAATAACCTAATGGAAGGAAGTAATTGCAGACTTCCACGTTCTATGTTCAAGAGTTAGTTTTATTCATTTTTTTTAAATCCCAAGTCCTTGCAAGCATCTGGTACCAGAAGGTAATTAATAACAGAAAAAAAATGGATTGATTGATTGGTGATGAAGATAATTGTAATCATCTTAATTAGATACATATTTTTGGAAATATATTATTTAAAGTTAAAATAACATAGTCACCATACTTATTCTCTATCTTGGTATATTTGAAAATCTTAAATAATGAGCCTTAATAGCTGGTAAAACTTGTGCATCAAGAGGCTTGAGGGTGAATTAATGGGATGCACAGCCCTTTGTAAAAAAAACAACATACACACACACACAAAATAGGCCCATCCAATTATAGAGACTACATCTGAATTCTTTAAGATTTAAGAAACATATGTCTCACCTCAGATATTCATTCATCACACAACTCCCAGACGGACACTTCGTGTTATATGGAACATCAGGCATACCAAGGGCATGACCCAGCTCATGTGACATCACGGCTACAAGAGCCACGTTATTCTTTTTCTTAGCCTAGGAAGACATGCAAATATCTGTTACTTCTTTGTTGATCCAGTTAATTCTTAATTGATTCAATGTTCAATAATAAAATGATAGTTTGACAAATAAAAAATAGTCATTATATTCCTTTTCCTGTCATTGGTTATTGTAAAATGTGAGTAAACATTTGAAATGATTGGTTCCTGTGAATCAACCATTGAGTTAGTTCTTAATAAACACTTACTGAACTAATGATAATTTCTCAGTAAACCATGGTTATATTAATACATGCTTCATAGGAACTACTAAAAGATACCATTCTATGTATCCAGAGGCCTCCAAAAACTATTGACATCGGTAGTGCTTGGCCACATCCCACCAACATGCACCTTGTCTGACCTCTCTGGCCAACAGTACTTTCAGGCCTCAGAGAATACCTGGATTCCCTTTCTCTCCTAATTGTCCCGCTCTTACTTCCTAATACCAACTGAAGAGGTAAGCCTTCTGGGAGAGTCAATGTAAGGAAATATTCTGTTCTGTCATCCAAGGGCCAAGGTCTACCAGTAGTTTTATTTCTACCTTTATTTACTGGCTCAGCAATTGCCCATTGTACAAACTTCATATAAGGCATTATGCTGGTCCTCATAGAGGATATAAAACCACAGGGAGCTTTACTATAGGTTTACAAACCTCAATAACAGCAACTGAAGTTGGGGAACACAAGGAATTCGGGGCTGCCGTTCCTGCACGTCGATCGTTGAAGGCAATTCCACTGTATGAGAGTTACAGGTACACGGTCACAATCTGAGTCTTTGGAACCATTAGCTGTTGTCAGTTATGTTTTAGATTTCCATTGTTATCCTACCTTTTTGTATTTACTAGGGCCCAGAAAAGCTTATCCTATTCCATAGAATTATTTTTCAATATCTATTTTTTTATCCTATTCCATAGAATAGGGACTGATCTCGTACCTAAACTACAGCATAGGATGCTATGAATTGGGATTACGACAGCTCAGGATTCAGACTGTGTGACAAAAGTAAACAACATTTTTGGTACTCTTCATTCTTTTATCTATAAAACCAGGAGTTGAATTTTCCTCATCTCAAAAGACTCTTGGGCTCTGTTTCTGGCAGTTTGCAAAATTGCTAAGTGGAATGCGTGAATTCCAGAAGTGCTCTGCCTCCAACACCTCTGAGTTCTGACCCTTCTGAGCTCCGTTGAGAATATCACACCACGGGACACAGGGACCTGAGCTCTGGCATTCTTGGGGCTTGGGATCCAGCTCCATGTATTGTTTACCTTAAAGACAATTAAATGGCTTGGTTTTTTAAAAAAAAACAACCAAGGAATTCGCGGCTGCCATATGTCTTTTTGTTTTTATTTTTCAATATCTATTTTTTATCCTATTCCATAGAATTATTTTTCAATATCTATTTTTTATTGTTGATAGTATTACAGTTATCTCCCATTGTCTTCCCCCCTTTACCCATCTCCTCCCAGCTCCTACCTGCCCCCAGGTTTTCACTACCTTATTGCCTGTGTCCATGGGCATTTAAGTATATAAGTTCTTTAGTTCTGAACTAATGATAATTTCTCAGTAAACCATGGTTATATTAATACATGCTTCATAGGAACTACTAAAAGATACCATTCTATGTATCCAGAGGCCTCCAAAAACTATTGACATCGGTAGAATTTATTCCCTAGAATTACAATGCTTGTCCCACATCCAAGAATCAATTTTAGTGATCTGACACAGGTCTAATAATTTCACGAGTGAATTGCTAAGGATAGAACTTCAAGCTCTCTGATAAATGGTTGGGGTTATGTAACTGAACAGTAAACTCTGCCAAGAAACCTGCTCTACTTACCTATGCCTGGCCCTGGCCAGTGTATGCTCACCTGAGTAGCTGAGCATGGTCATGGGTCTTCATTTTCCCAAAGTTAGAACGATGCCAATTCAAAAAGTTGTTAAAGGTGGTGCCTATGTTGGGTTCCACCTTTATCTTATCACCATCAGACCAGATTTCCATACCTACCAAGGCCACCTGAATGTCTATGGTGTTATAAATCTGTGGAAAGAGCATTTTTCTTCATAAAAATTTTGAGATTTCTTTAATGTTTTAGATCCTTTGCTGACCACAAGTGATGGATAAATGTAACTCATTTTGAAAATAAAATTCTCAAAGTTGCCTTTGCTACAATATATATGATTTAACCTTGATGTTTATCTTTATCTGCTAAAGTTCTCAAAACTGCTGACCTTAAACCATTGTGACCCTCCCAACTCCTTACTTGGCGAAACCAGAGGGAAGCCCCAGGCCCCAGTGTGGAATCACATGTTTACAGGACAAATATCTTACCACATTGAGGAGGTTCATCACATCAAACACAAAGCTTCTTATGGAAGTTAGATTTCCGTTATACATGTTATACTATAAAATACAAAATACAAAGTATAATTAAAATCTCAAACTATAGTGAGAAAGTTGATGAAATATAGAAGTACACATTTTAAGAAAAATTACACATTTTAATGTAAACAAATGTACATTTATTCCATATCTACCTTATATAAGATTCTGTGTTTCAACAAATTGTATTTCAAATGTAAGATTTTCTTGGTAAGATAAAAATTAGGCATTGATGTAAAATTTTAGTTTCTTTCATTTTTACATTGAATAAAACAAATTAATGATTTAAATGTTTTAAACTAATTCAATATTATTAAAATTTGATTATAAAGTAATACTTACTAGTTAGAAGCACTGATCCTGGTATTTTTGAATATATAAATGTAACTTGTAAAGTATAATTTTGTGTCTACTTTATATTTACATAATATAGTAAGAATTTAAAAATATTTTAATAACCCATTCAATTTTTTTCAGTATTGTGCTTGATCTCCTGTAGGTATCTGGTATTAAGAATATTTCTAATTTATGACTATTTTGGATATTAAAGGGGTGGATGAACAAAAACTGTTGTTGGCAAGACAGGTAGAACAGATAAGACAATCAGGACAAGCTCTGTATTTTCAGCCCGAATAGTTTAATGTTTGTGTTTGCTGATAAGAAAACTTAAAAGTTGGCTTAACTTGATAAGAAGCACACATATTTCATACTCACAAAGGCATTATCCAGCACCAAAAAGAGATCAATGTATTTCTCAGCCCGAAGAAAGTATTCTTCCTTTACAAAGAGTAAAAGAACATTGTTAATAATTCTTTAAATATATTTTATTGATTTTTTACAGAGAGGAAGGGAGAGAGACAGAGAGCCAGAAACATCGATGAGAGAGAAACATCGATCAGCCGCCTCCTGCACATCTCCCACTGGGGATGTGCCCGCAACCCAGGCACATGCCCTTGACCGGAATCGAACCTGGGACCTTTCAGTCCACAGGCCGACGCTCTATCCACTGAGCCAAACCAGTTTCGGCGAACATTGTTAATAATTATCTTTATCCTAAAAGTTTGAAACGCTTACAAAGAGGTTTATTTTTTCTTCAGAGGAAAAGTAAATTGATGAATAAGTAAATAAATTATAGGTTTTCCCTGTACCAGTCATTGCTGAGCACAACAGTCTGTGACATATCCTTGCTGAGCCAACCGAAGTAAATGATGACATAGGAAAGCTACACTTACCTCTGGGCTACGGAGTGACCTAGAGGTCCGAATGCGGCCATGTTTTCTGCCAACATTTTTTACTCCACAGGTGTGGTTAGCGGGGTCTGGCTCCTCCTGGTTATGTATCAGGACAACATGTTCTTCTTGGTCTGTGTTTTTCAGAGGCTTGATCATATATCTTTGATCACGATGTGTGAAGAATCCCCTGTGAAACATAGAGACTCATGTTTGAGGATTCTCTGCCCCAGTACACATATTGACCAGAATGGATTAACACCTCTCCCTCCATCCCAAGCTCACACACACAGTACTGATTCATTGGCTATTGGCTTTTTTTCCCTAATTTAAGAGCTAATCAGTATTTTCAGTACTAAAATAGAGCCTGTTTTATTTACTCAGAGAACTGTGAACAATAATTAGTAAGATGAAGCTACCAAAGTAAAATTTGTCCACACATTTAGCACATATTCCTTGACAGGTCTTAGAAAAATAGTGGAGAATAAAATAAACTAAAGGAGTGTATAGATACCAAGAACCCCAGTGAAGAGAAAGAATGATGAGCAGATTAGCCAGAGGAACAGTTTGGAACTAGTAGTTTAAAGAATTCCACTTTATAGTAATAAAATTCTTTCAGAAATAGAGAGTTGAATCCATATGATGGAATATTACAAAGCTTACATAATAATTTAAGATTTCATTTATGAAAGTATCTTATAACAAGGGAAAAAGCTTTGATGTTGTGGTATGAGCTATGTAAGAAGAACAATTATGTGTATTTTATTTCATATTTCAGCCACATAAGAGGTATATTTGCCTATATACACTAAAAGCTGGAAATGGGACAAAATGTTAATAATAGAGGTAACATTTCATAGTGCTTATTTTCTTATTTGGTTTTCTTACTGTCCAAAATTTCCCTAATTGATAAGAATTATCTTTTAAATAAGGATAAATACCACACACACATACACAATTTTTTAAAAAGTATGTTTCACCATGACAATTGCAAAGTAGACTTTAAGAAAATGAAATAGAATGTCTTCAGGGAGTGGGATTGCTCAATGTAAAAATGGATCCAGATATCATCAGGGTCCATAGTGTAGCATCTTGTTTAAATATTGTTAGGACTAACTTTTACTAGAGCAGCAGATTATAAATGCTTGCAAGGATGATATATTCAGCATGCTATCAATGGAAACATTTAACCAATATAGTATAAGACATGATATCCAGGAAGACATTTATCTGTGTAAAAAAATGATGGTTGATGTTTAATATTTTGGGGAGTAGTTCTCACCTCAACCCATTACAAGTACTAATGCTGGCAACAGAATTCTTATCATTCAGGATGTGTCCTGTATAGTAGCAGTGTTCCTAAGGTTGGAAAGAAAAAAAGTTAACTATAAGAATAAATATATCACAATTGTGGGGGAAGCTGTTATCTTGAATATGTAGGAAAGGTCTTTGAGTAGTGACGGTGGCCAGACCAATTCCAAGAAACAAACACAGTGGGAACTCAGAGGTTTTATGAACTGCTCCACCGCCGACCCTGGAAACTGTATTGAATGAGGTGTTTTTCTGATGCTACTTGGCACCAAAGAAAAGTCCTGAGTGGGCTCCTGCTGACAGTGGACGCTGCATCCGAGAAGTAGCCAGCTGGCCTGGGGCCTACAGCACTCCCAGAGAACGCTCAGAGTTGAGACACAACTTGTGAGAATTTGGCTCCCTTTTGCTAAGTTGCTAAGACACTGTACATACCATATCAATAAAATGGGGTATACATTTTTCTGGATTCTAGAGTCCTTAAAACACCACACTACCTGTCCTGAGCCCTCATAATAATTGATCTCATTTACCGTATTAATTGGTGTATTAATAGAATTTCTTTGCTATCATCAAAATCCCTGAGAATTTCTCTAAAACTAGAGATTTAGATATGGTTGATGATCCATATAAGCAAAATAGGGGTCACTTGTGTAGAGTAATCTAAGAAAGCCAATGAATAACCTCCTGTTAAAAATTGCCCTAACCGGTTTGGCTCAGTGGATAGAGCGTCGGCCTGGAGACAGAAGGGTCCTGGTTTCCATTCCGGTCAAGGGCCTGTACCTTGGTTACGGGCACATCCCCATTAGGGGGTGTGCAGGAGGCAGCTGATCAATGTTTCTCTCTCATTGATGTTTCTAACTCTCTATCCTTCTCCCTTCCTCTCTGTAAAAATTCAATAAAATATATTTTAAAAATATATAAAAAAATAAACTGACTTTTCTCGGGGGTTGACATTCCATCTGTGTTTTCTTCTCCTTTGGAAGAAACCTTGTTATCATAAACACTTTCTCATATAAGACTTGTACCACATGAAAGTATCAGCCACAGCACGTGAATGTGAATTAATCATCAGATACTTTCTTTGGAGGTCAGTGTTAGCAAGAATCCAGACAGATATCCACAAGATGAGAGTTTCCATGTGAGTAGGAAAGAAAGAGACATTTTTTTAAAATACATTTTATTGAATTTTTACAAAGAGGAAGGGAGATAGATAGATAGTTAGAAACATCGATGGGAGAGAAACATCGACCAGCTGCCTCCTGCACATCTCCCACGGGGGATGTGCCCGCAACCCAGGTACATGCCCTTGACTGGAATCAAACCTGGGACCTTTCAGTCCGCAGGCTGACGCTCTATCCACTGAGCCAAACCGGTTTTGGCAAGAAAGAGACATTTTGTGGCAGAAGTCTTACCTGTGGTATTTTTTAGAGATACATACGTTTGAAATGCTATGGGGGTGGCTCTGAGAAAGTCACTTAACCTGGTAATACTCCATGATTAACCTTTTTGTAATCTTTTTCGGTTCTTCTTTTGGCCTTGATTCTTTATGTCTAACATCTAGGCCTTGGCATTATTTGTAGGGTGGTGGTTTAACCAGATATACAGTATATTAATGAAATAATTTATATTCCATTGTTGACCTCAAGATAAATGCATGTATCATCAGAAAATAGTAAATAGTTTCAGGACATTTTAAAACCTATAGGGGAGACTATTTTTAACCTACTGATAAGGCAGTTTAGGGAAAAAAGTAGACTTTTGATTGCTTCAAAAAATGCAGCACTTGGAAGTTGCCTAGTACTCCTACCTTTTAAAAATGCTGACTATGCTTTTTAAATCTGTTAACTTGTTGGATAGATAAGCAACTTGCTTTTAAGTTCTTCAAGCATTTTTAAGTTGTTCTTGGACTTATGCATCTTACAGCATAAGTGGCAGATCCAGAAAGAGTCCCAGAAAGCATTCAAAACCCACCATGTTCTGAGGGCTTGTGATGATTTCCTCGCCTCTGGGTGAGTAGTAAGTTTCAGTGTAGTCTGGCCCCAGGAGATGCCTGTAGAGAGTAGAAAGTTGCATAATTCGCTCACTGTGGTAATAAAGGCTAATTCATATCCCTGACATGGTCTCTGGCAGTAAAGCAATAATAATGTCCACAATGAGAAGGTGTTGACATTCTGGCCCACTGATCTTTTTCCAACATTGGAGCTCTGCTGCTGATGCAAATCAGAGCATTAGCTCTACCTGTTAAATCTAAGGGAAGAAATGGCCTTGGCTGCCTTTTAACTGCAGATTATTTATGTTCAAAAATGAGTTATTTGGGGATTCTTTGCACAAAGAACAGATGCTGGATCATAAGTATTCATAAAGGACCATTGCAATCTGAGAGGATTTTGCTGACTGCTAGAGAACTCGGGGGAGGCCCAGCCCTGGGATCTATCTCAAGGCTGTGTGCCCTGAATGAACATGGGGCATACCTTTTTATAAAAGCAATGGAAAGTCATATCAAAGTTGTAAGTTTCCCTGGGTAGAAAAAAATTTCTGCAAATTCTAAGAAGAATCAGGGGACAAAGTCATTTATATGAGCAGCTTTCTTTGTTTTAGACTTTGCGTGTAATTTCCTAGGAAAGCATCAACATTCCTGAGATAGCATTAGCGCAAATGCATCTAAAACATCTAAAACTCAATATACTTGATGTCCTTTACCTAAAATTACACTAAATAAGGTCTCGAGATTTATTTTTCCATGTCCTCTTAATACAAATCACTGATTAAACTTTTAGAAAAGTAACTTACTTGGTTTTTTGTAGGTAGAGAATGACTTCTCCATTTAATATAATCTGATACTGAAGTTCAGCTTCATATTTCTCCTTAAAAATGTAATTATATAATATCAATTTATATTTCTGAGTCTAGCTAAAATAAACATAATATAATCTACACTAATAAAAGAGAAAAATGGTAATTAGTGTACTACCGCTACCCTTCCCATTGGCTAATCAGCATATCCTTATGCAAATCAACTGCCAACAAAGATGGCGGCTAATTTGCATACGCCCAATGATGGGAGGCGAAAGGGGAAGGACTGAAGAATGCTGATCGGCAACCCAGGCTGCAGGCAAGAGCTAGGGGGTGGGCAAAGGCCGCCTTTCCCCACCCCCCAGCCGGTGATCGCCATTGGAAAGCCGGGCAGCAAACCCAACCCCGGGGCTGGGGTTGCCGGCTGGCCTGTGCCGAGCAATGGTGGCGATCAGAGGCGTGAGGGCTGGGGCGCAACCAAGCGGCAACCCTGGACCCCAATGGGGCCGGGGTTGCCGGCTGGCCTGCGCCCAGGATCGCCATGGCATTGGAGGGCGGGAGGGCCCGGGCGCAGGCCAGCTGGCAACCCCAGTCCCCACTGCGGCCAGGGTTGCCGGCTGGCCTCCGCCCAGGATCCCCATGGCATCGGAGGGTGGGAGAGCCTGGGCGCAGGCCAGGCGGCAACCCCAGACCCCACTGGGGCTGGGGTTGCAGGCTGGCCTGCGCTGAGCGATCCCCATAGGATCTGAGCCTGACCAGGGACTGCACCTAGGGATTGGGCGTGCCCTCTGCCACCTGGGAGCAGGCCTAAGCCAGCAGGTCATTATCTCCAGAGGGGTCCCAGACTGGGAGAGGGCACAGGTCGGGCTGGGGGACCCCCCCTGCCCCCCCCCCCCCGTGCACAAATTTTTGTGCACCGGGCCTCTAGTAATATATATAATATAGAAGGGTAATTGCAAGTGCATTTAAGACAAAAGCAGATCTCTTATGCCTTTATAATATGTAAAAGTAAATATAAATTGTGTATTTAGATAGATTTCAAAAAAGTACAATAACACGGTAATAATACTTACAGATTAAACTAATCTGTAGTTTAAACTAATGTGAGATAAAGACTAAGCATTTGCCCTGTGTACAATAGGCAGTCACTAATGGATCACTAATGGGTTAATAATAAGGCACATATTTTATTATGATAAAATAAAGCCAAATACACTAAAGAAAATCAACTCCAAACCTACCAATGTATATATATAAAAGCCTAAGTGACTAGCTGACCATCCGGTAGCTATGACATGCACTGACCATCAGGGGGCAGACACTCAATGCAGGAGCAGAAACCACAAGCATAGAAACATGGAACAGACTAATGAATCTCAGAGGGAACGAGGGAGGGGGGAGGACAGGAAGAGATTAACCAAAGATCTTATATGCATACTAGAGGCCTATCTGTGCACTGGTGGGGTCCTTCGCCCTGGCCTGTGGGGATTGGGCCGAAACTGGCTCTACAACATCCCCCAAGGTGTCCCAGATTGCAAGAGGGTGCAGGCCAGGCAGAGGGACCCCACCAGTGCACGAATCCATGCACCCAGCCTCTAGTAGTTATATAAAGTAAAAACTAGAAACTGATAGAAATATTTACAATAATGTAATAGTCAATAAGTTAATATCCTTAATACATTTTTAAAATCTTATTAATGAGATAATGTTCAGTTCTCCATTATAGACAAAATAGCCAAGGAAAAGGCAATTCATTTAGGAAGAGGAGGAGGGTAGGAGAAAGGGTTTGAGGCTCTTGGCAAGGAATATTGTCAAAAATGGCTGCCTTTCCTGGGCTCCTTTTTTTTCTCTCCCTCCCCCACCATTCCAGAAACTTGAAGAAATGCCTAAGTAGCTTTATTCTTTCTGATCAAGTAAGGCAGTTAACTCCCTTTCTGCTGCTTAATTGTAAAAACATTCTAAGAAATTCCATGTTCTCTACTGGATGAAGATTAAACCATGAGATGTTGACTATGACACCACTTCTATTAGTTAAAAGGCTCTTTATTGTCTCTTCAGATAATTGTAAAACCCACAGTCATTTACATTACTTACCTCTTTATCATGTGTCTCTGTTTGGTTGTTCTGTATCTCCCTTTTATGTAAAATATGCAGTTTTTTCGGATGAACTACTTCATAGCCTTCAAATTCAGGTATTTGCCTTATGGCTATTGCTAGGGAAAGAGAGATAATAGTGATATAAAATATTGAAGGATTTTGTTTTGGTTTTGCTTGGTTGGTTTGTTAAAATTGCATGGGCAACCGTATTCTCATTAAGAAAATAAACATTAAAAACAAGTTCTTCTGCCAAAACCTGTTTGGCTCAGTGGATAGAGCGTCGGCCTGCGGACTGAAAGGTCTCAGGTTCGATTCCAGTCAAGGGCATGTACCTTGGTTGCGGGCATATCCCCAGTAGGAGATGTGCAGGAGGCAGCTGATCAATGTTTCTAACTCTCTATCTCTCTCTTTTCCTCTCTGTGAAAAATCAATAAAATATAAAAAATAAAAATAAAAAAAATAAAAACAAGTTCTTCTTTCTACTGGAACTTGGAAAACAAAGTTTTTTCCTTTTGCTCTCCATTCCCCCAACCCTTGGTTCTGGAAAGACATAATGATGATAGAACAATGCTTTGGATATCTCCCAATATGTGTGAACTCTGTAAACTCTGGACCACCATGCTCAGAAAGGGCAGGTTTTGGATTAGAACACAGTTTATAGGAGCCAGGAATTCTTCCTGTAGTAATCCAGTTTCTTCTTTCTCTATTGTCCTCTACAAAATTGTGAATTTTTCTTTTAATGGTCTCAGTGGTCTCTGTATTCCTTTTTATGTATTTTGCTCTCTGTGGTGCAATACCTGACTAACTCCCTACCCTGAAAAAAATTAAATATTTCATAGACAGATAATTCTTCATTCTACTAACAGTTATTTTATTTCTCAGTGCAACAATAAACCATTGCAGTCTTTCATTAGCATTCACTCTCAGACTTTAGATTTCACAGGAAATAATGTTTTTGTTATTCTCAGTTGGAACAATTATAAAGCATCAGAGAGCCAGAAGAAAAATTTTATGTAAACTGCATGTTCTGGATTTACTTGGAATGACATTAGATAGAGAATTTTCTATTTTACTTGCATATAGTAAGAAAATAACTGATATGGGAGCCAAAATTTGGTCTCGAAACCTAGCTAAATGGCCTTGTAAGTAATCTTGTAAAAGTCACTTCAATTTCTATCAGTTTACTTACTTAAAGTAGAGGTTGGTATAAAAATCACATAGCATAAACTTTATAAAATTATTTAATAACAGGTGGCAGGCACACCTTTATCCATTTTTTTCTTTATTCATTCAATTATCCATATAAACTCAGTTTTGTTTTTAAATGTTTTTATTTTCACAGATAAGTGTCAATGCTTAGAGACAAATTCTCACTCAATTTTGACAGTCAGTGTGACTTTAGGCAATTCTATACCTGGCCGATGTGGACAACCTGAAGGGAAGCAGTAAGTCATAAAATCTCTTCTAATCAACCCTCCAAGTTCTGCTGTGATGCTATCCTAAGAAGAATTCACCACACACGAAGAAAAGAGCATTTATAAATATATTACTAAAAGTCTTTATCAAAAGAGAATATGAACCCTATTATGGAAAGAGTTCTGAAATTAAAATTAGAGTGAATTTTAATTTAATAATATCTAGTCTCAACTCTAATACTAATTGGTCAGTTGGTCAATTAATTTTTAATTTTGCTTACTAATGTAATTATGTCTAACAACTCTAATTTCACTTAAGAGTCTTCCTTGTCATCTACCTTAGTGCAGCATTTGAATAAATTGTATATTTAGGTAAATGATTGTCTTTTAACAGGGTAGAAATATTAATGTTATTTAAGATAACATGGATGATGGTTAGAAAATTCTTGAATTCTGGTCTGGAGTTAATTATCTGCTATTATTACAAAACAAATTATAGATCTTGTAGGATTATTGAATGAGATAAAATTTCAGAGACATTCTAATTAAATTATTTTGCCAATCACAACACCTTGACAATGAGCACAATTTATGTAAATTGAGTAAATATACTAAACTACAAATGGTAATGATATTTGGGTCTTATGAGCATGTCACTTTCTTAAGGGTATTTTTAAATGCATTAAATAATTTGAATTTTGTATAAAATGTCAATATATCAGCACTTACCTTCAGTTTGTACAATGAACCAGAGAACAGAGAGCAGGACCAAAGACATGTTGGCGACTGCAGCTAGCTAAGAAGTCCCACACAGCATGAAGATGTGGTCTCCCCAGCTATTTATCTTCCCCTACTTGTTATTACAAATTGAAAAATAAATCTCAAAATTCACTTATGAGATTAGGACACGTTTACTAATAGTGTTGAGAGATTGCCAAGAAACTGCAATATCAAGATCATGAGAATGTTCCTCGTTGATGAGATGTGTTTATGTCTGTGGTTACGTCTGTTAAAATCACTTCCAGACAGCTGCTGGTCCTAGTGCCTCTGAACAGTGGAAAAGTACCAGCTGAGACTTTTATGCCCATGTACATATTCACATACTCGTCAAACTAACTGAACCATCACCCTTGTTCTTCTATAACCTTATAGAAATTGATCTACAAATTTAGAAAACAAATCAGTAGTCTCTACATATTTTGTGAAGCTGGCACAGAAAACACTAAATTGATAAAACAAGTACCAGGCAAAGTTATAAGCTAGCATACTGTAATCTCTCTGTCCCTCAGGCTCCTTTTCTGTGAAAATGGGATGATGATAACAATACCTACCTCAAGCTTTTTATAAATTCATGTAAGGTGCCCTGGCTGGGTGGGTCAGTTGATACACACATCATCGCTTACACCAAAAGGTTGCAAGTTCGATTCCTTATCAGGGCACATATCTGGGTTGTGGGTTTGATCCTCGGTTGGGGCACATGTGGGAGGAAACCAATTAAATTTTCTCTCTCACATCATTGTTCCTCTCTCTTCCCCCCCCCCCCGCTCCTCTTTGAAAACCAATAAAAACATATCCTTGAGTGAGGATTAGAAAAATTCATGTAAGGTAAAATATACACATGCATGCACGTATGCGCATAAAATTGTAAAGAAACGTAATTCTCTTGACAGCGTTAGCATCAAACAAATTATACTACATATGAAATATGTTTGAAGTGCAGTATGAGTTCTACTGCAGAAAAATAACAATATTTTCTGATTTTTTTCATGGTCATAAATATCACGAGTATACTAAGGAAAAAAACTTGAAAACCCTCCCATAATTCCTCCCCCGCTGGCCAACCTCCCACATCCCTCCCTGGCATTGATCATGCACCAGTGGGGTTTCTCAGCCTGGCCTGTGCCCTCTCATAATCCAGGACCCCTTGGGGATGTCGGAGAACTGGTTTCAGCCGATGGCAGAACAACCGGTGCTATGACACGCACTGACCAACAGGGGGCAGACGCTCAATGCAGGAGCTGGCCCCTGGTGAGCAGTGCGCTCCCACAGCCAACCTCCCCTGGCCAACCTCCTGTAGCCCCTCCCCTACTCCGGCTGACCAGCATTCCATGGCCCTCTCCCTCTCCCCAGCCTGGCCATCCTCCCACGGCCCCTCCCCTTGGCCAGTCATCCCCCCCTATCAGCCTCAATCACTGGCCAGGTCAAGGAACTCCACCCGTGCACGAATTTGTGCACTGGGCCTCTAGTGTACTAATAAAAGTTGAAAAATAAAAGAAAATTAAATTTTTTAGTTTTAGTGCTTATTGTATAAAGGGTTTTGGAAACCTATATTTTTTTGCATAGCATTATGACATAATGTTGAAAATTAAGACTTTATTTTAATGACTTTAGAATATTGCTTTGTGTGTATGTTACATGTGTCTTTGTATGTGTATGTTTCTTTGATTGCATTTATAATTATTTCTTTTGGATAAGCTACTAGAAGTGGTATTATTTAGTTTAAAAGAATAAATCAATTTGAGGTTCTTGGTAAATACTGACCCTGTACTTCTTGGAGAATTAGCATCAAAGTAAATTTCCATTTATAGAGTTTACCCAATCTAAAATCTATCTTTAATTACTGAGCTTATTTTTACAGATACATTTGGAAGTTTGTTAGCATCTGATTGCAAGTTTTGCAGTTATCTCTCTATGTCTATGTTTTTTTTGAGTCAGTTAAGTTTTCTATATTATTTTATATTACTTTTGCTGGTCCAGAAGATCAACATTCTACATATATTCTATGGTAGTTACCATTAAATTTTAACAAAATGTAATCTCAATTACCTCTCTACTATTAAATAATACAAGACCCTGGAATGGTGTAGCGCATCAGCACCCTACCTCTTGTTGCCTTATGTATTGTTGTCAAGTATTTTAGTTCTAGTATGATTTTCACCTGCAAGTTAGTCATCATCAATAGTTTTGTGCTTTATTCAGATGACCTATTTGAAATTACTCACATGTGTACCACCTTCTTTGCATATAGGTCCTTTAGAAAAAAATGTTTCTTTGTGAAATAAATTATTTGATAAATCATTTATTAAAGTTTTCTAGAAGGAAGACTTCTATGTTTTTAAAAATTTTTTTTCAGAGAGTAGATTTATCCCACCCTATTCTTTAATGGTAGTTTAGCTGGGAATACAGTTTTAGGATGATAACTAAAACTCTAGTTGGGAGCTATTTTACTATCTTGGACAACTACTGCTACTGTCAAAAATTCTGCTTTCAGTCTATTAAATGGAAATTAAACATACAAGTATTGCAAGATAAGGTAAATATTTATTGAGATCATTTTAAATTTGAGTTAGTATTACATTAATATTAAGTTAATATTGAGTAATACATTAATATTAAATTAATATCATTTCTGGGCATGTGAAGATGACCTTGATACTATCCTTACTATTGAGATATTCCTGCAATAAAGTATAATGAAGATAAATCTACAAACATATAGTTTGTACAATTGGCATACATTATGATTGAGGTTTGTGCATTGTATTCAGGTAGAATTTAGAAGCATACATTTGGTGAGTAGAAAGAGTCAGATAATATTGGCTGGAAAAGAAATAGGAGAGAGAAAACTATACGAGCAAAGCCATGGGTAACCTTGTGGAACTACAATGTGTTTTTCGTAACTTGAAAATAACATAAAAAGTAGTAGGTGTCTGACATAAAGCTTGTGAAATATGCAGGAGCCAAGTTATGGAGAGAAAAATGCTAAAGGCCTTATTGAAGAAGGTACACATCTGGGAAATATTTAGCTCATAAAATTGTTCGACTTTATAGTTGATTGGGTGGCAACTGATGGAGATAGAGAAATCTGCAATCAATTCCAAGGTACTTGGTCAGTTGATAGGAGCTGCACTCTAGTTATACCCCTTAAAAGCAGGAGGTATATCTCCTGGTTTACTCTTCAGGAGCATAGCACCTTGAAGATAATTGATGTTCATAAATGTTCATTGAACATTTGTACCATGAAAGGAGTTTGTAAACTACATTTTTTCCCCCTGGAATACTGGTACTGTTTATTTGGTAGTTGAATATCAGCATAAAAATTACAACTGTGGAAATAACATTAAAAAGATTATTTACTTGATGCATCTGGAGGGATTGAGCAATGAAAAATATATATGGACCCTTATGAATACAATATCCAAGGACTACATAAACATAGGACTAAATTTATGATCATGAAACTAAGAAATCATGACCAACATCCGGACCACAGAGAATTTTGTTCCCATAAAACTTGCAACTTAACATTCTGGAATGTTTCCTAATAAAGAATACTTGAAGACTCGTGGCAGATGTTTATTATCTAACTAGAAATGAAAATTGAATGGCAACATGGACAAAAATTACAGTAAATCCTAAGAAATACCCCCCAAATGGGTGCAAGGTAACAAAGTCATTGTATGGAGAGTGAGATTTCACTTATGATAGGTGGTATAGATGTTGAAAAGACTGAAGGTGAAAGATAAATTTTGTTTGCAGGTGAATAAAGGTCTCTAAGTATTTCAGTGAAAGGAGTGAGAGAGGGTTCAGTAGGGTGTGCTAATTTATTCAACAAATATTTAGAATTGTTTATGTTCATATTTTCTAGGCTTCACATAAGGGCTTTTGGATGTGAGATTAAATACTAGAAATATGAAGGAAATCACAAGGCATAGTAAGTGGAACAACACATAAGGAAAAAGAGAATGTGGAGTTGGGTAAGAGGGGGATATTTTGGGTATCAACCATAGAATACTTCCAGCTATGATGGACTAACTTATATCAGTGCAGTCCTGCACTAGTGATGTCTTAATGTGCTGAGAAGACAATGTAGGCACATAACAGCTATTAGAAGGTATTTAAAATAGCTAAGGCAACAAGAAATGGAATGTGCAAGATTTCAAAAAGAAAGGAAGTTACACAGAGTTGAGCTTGACATTCCCCCCCAACATTTTCCTTCAGGCATTTAGCAATTCTTAGGTTCCAGCTGAGAGGTTAAGAAACTGAGCAGAGTTCTCAGTAGCCTCGCACTGCTGCCAAGGCAAATTTGGAATTAAAGGTCCCCCAAGAAGGAGGGAAACTAATAAACTCCTCAGGATGAGTTGAGATCTATGAAAGACAGCACTCTGTTAGTAAAGGCAAACACTAAATACTCAAGCCTTTACAGATTGAAAATTAGTTTCTGATCAGCTCAGTCCCCAATTATATTAAGGTGATCTACCTCGAGATTAATGGCCTGCCAGAAGAAAAGGTACATTTTGGTAGAAATACACAGTGAAAAACCACACAGAAAAGAAAGTGTACCATATGCTACATGCAGAGTCATGGATAAATATCACCTACATATTTTTTTAAAAAGAAAGGTCTTATACTTCTACTGAAATACATTCCCAAACTGGCAAAACTCAGCTATAATTTTAGATATCATATAGTGGTTTGGGGGGGAAGGAGGGAATATAATGACTGCAAGGAGATATGATTAACACTTCCAGGGCACTGTTAATGTTACATTTTCCTTGATGGATGTGGTCAGTACATGGGATATATGCCTTGTGAAAACTCATTAAGCTATACAATTGTAAATTTTGTATACTTCTCTAAATATGTATATGTATAATAACCTTAATTAAAATTTTAAAAAGTTGTTACATATGTATATGTATCTATGCATCTATGCACATAAACATACATATTTGTCTTAAACACAGCATCAACAATTCAAAACATTTGGTTTGGGCCGGCCACCATGGTTCATGGTTGAAGGTCTACCTTTGAACC